AACTTAAGAATTGATGGACTACAAGAAACACCAGGCGAAAGTTGGGAAGATTGCGAAAAAGCTGTTAAAGACATTTTCAAAACACTATTGAAAATACCTAGTGAAGTGGTGGTCGAACGAGCTCATCGAATCGGACAATTTAAAGAAAACAAACCAAGAACCAAGAACAAGTCTTAAAACTCTTGAACTACCAACTTAAAACAACTTAAAGGAACTGGACTATACATAAATGAAGATTTCGCTCAAGAAACAATATATCATCGAAGAAAGTTATGGGAAGAAGTAAAAAAACTAAGAAGCGAAGGTAAATACGCCATTTTAAAATATGATAAAATATTTACACGAGATTTTAAAAAATAGCGCTACACTTTTTTTGAACTAAGGAAAAAATGCGTTTTCAATTTTAAATTTTAAAACAATGAACAACAAAACAATAGATTTTGAATCATGTTTTCGAAACTGCTAATAATATACTCATTGACGCTGATACGCATATTTTTCAAATGAATAATTTTGATTCTCGATATGTTAAAACTGAAACTTTTAAAACTGAACTTGAAACTATTAAAAATAATTTTACAGTAATTCACATAATTATAAGAAGCATAAATAAAAATTTTGAGAAACTTAAGCACTTCCTAATTGATTGTAATTACTTATTTAGTATGATTTGTCTAACAGAAACTTGGTGTTCTGACGAATCAATCCAAAATAACACTAACTTTCAAATTCCCAATTATAAATTAATACCTTCTGAAAGAAAAACATGCAAAAAAGGAGGAGGGATTGCAACTTATGTTCGGAATGATCAAGCAATAAAAGTAAGAAAAGACCACTCCATTTCTAATGCCGATAGTGAGGTCTTTACAATAGAAATCATAAACTCCAAGTTTTAAAATATTATTGTTTCTACCTGTTATAGACCACCTGAAGGTAATATTAAAACTTTTTCTAAATATCTAGAAGAAATTTTTCTCAAAATCAATAAAGAACAAAAAAAGTTATTCTGTAATGGGGACCTCAACATAGATTGTTTAAAATACCATGAGTTTCCGATTACTAAATTATTTTTTGATAACATGTTTCAACATTGTATATTACCAATTATTAATAAACCCACACGGGTAACCTTAAATTCTATTTCTGCCATTGATAACATACTAACAAACTCATTTCTAGATACCTTCTTAAAAGCAGGAATAGTAAAAATTGATATAACAGATCATTTTCCAATTTACTTTACAATAAAAAAATGATGCAAGAGTAAATAATAATTTGAAAAAAATAACTTATAAAAGAAAAATAAATAAATTTTCAATTCAAAATTTTAAAGACACACTATCGGCAGTAGATTGGGTTAAAGTGTATCAAGAATGTAACCTTGGGAACACAAACTCTGCATATAATACTTTTACAGATATTTTTCTAAAGCACTACAATAATCATTTTCCAATCAAAGAAAAAGAAATCAAAGTAAAATATTTGAGCTGTCCATGGATCACCAGCGGTATTAAAAAATCTTCAAAAACAAAACAAAAACTATACGTTAAATATTTGAAAAACAGAAATGAGATTAATCTATCTACTTATAAACAATACAAAAATCTTTTCGAAAAAATCAAAAAACATTCTAAAAAAATTTACTACTCTAAATTACTTAAAAAAACAAATGGAGACATGAAAAAAATATGGAACATTATGAAAGAAATAATCGCGAAAAAAAACGATGATAAGAACTCAATTGCCGAACACTTCAATAATTTCTTTGCAAACGTAGGCCCAAACATGGCGTCTGAAATTTTAACTACAAATGACTCCTTTGAAAACTACCTTACAGATCTAAATAGCGAACTAATTTTCAATGGACTAAGCTATGAAGAACTTGAAAATGCAAAAAACTTTTTAAAAATCAACAAAGCACCAGGAATTGATGAAATTTGTAGCAATGTAGTAATAAATATCTTTCCGATAATAAAAAAACCCCTCTTCGAAATATTTAAATCTTCAATTATAACAGGAACCGTTCCAGAGAAATTAAAAATTGCAAAAATTGTACCTATATATAAAACTGGAGAACCATATTTACTAAACAACTATCGACAAATCTCAATCCTTCCTGTATTATCAAAACTTCTCGAACCAATAATTTATAATAAACTGTACATATATTTAACAAACAATAACATCTTAAATAAAAAACAGGTTGGATTTCAAAAACAACATGCAACCGAACATGCAATCATAGATCTTGTAAATAGCATCAACTACTCATTTGATAATAATGAATTTGTTCTAGGAATCTTTATAGATCTATCAAAAGCATTCGATACTGTTGATCGTGAAATCCTGCTCAAAAAAATGGAAAAGTATGGCGTAAAAAATGTTGCATTACTCTGGTTTAAAAACTTTTTGCTAAACAGACAACAATGTTTAAATACTGATGAAATATCTGTTCAAAAATGCTAAAGATCAAATGTGGCATTCCCCAAGGTTCCATTCTAGCTCCCTTACTGTTTTTAATATACATTAATGATCTTCCGAAAGCCTCAAACAAACTTGATGTCATAATGTTTGCAGATGACACTAATTTACTTTATTCATCCCCGTCAATTACAGAACTTTTTGAAACAACGAATATAGAACTCGAAAAACTTAATAATTGGCTAAAATCTAATAAACTATCTTTAAACACAGAAAAAACTAATTACATCTTATTCCATCCAAATCAAAAAAGAAAAAAACTACCAAATATATTGCCATTGCTAAGAATAAAAAACAAAAATATCGAAAGAACCACAACAACTAAATTCCTAGATTTACTTATTGATCAAAATATTTCATGATAGGCCCATATTTAAATACTAAAATAACCAAAAACATTGGCGTGCTATACAAAGCTAGGCCAATGTTATCCCAAGAAAATCTAAAACATCTTTATTTTTCATTTATACATACCTATTATACGTATGGTAATATAGCATGGGCCAGTACCCATAAATCTAATTTAAAATCACTTTATCAACATCAAAAACATGTCATTAGAATTGTCTATAAAAAAATAAACTCACTCATGCTGAACCTTTGTTTAAACTCCTAAATGCACTGAACGTCTATAGAATTAACATTTACCAAAACTTACTCATCATGCTAAAACTTAAACTCGGGCTTGTCCCACCACATTTCTTAAATGAATTTTTTAAAAGCAATAAAAATAGATATGACACTAGAGAAGTAGGAAACTTTAATGTACCATTCAGAAAAACAAAACTGTCGCGTTTCACAATTTCATTTCGCGGTCCCTATCTTTATAATAAACTGATATCCAAAAATGGCATTATTACAAAATTAGATAGCATAAATTGTTTGAAAATCTTACTAAAAAAGTTTCTTTTAAATATCAGCAATTATTTAAACTTTCACTAAACTAAACTGAAAGTAATTATTTATCTTATCTAATTTTTCTTTTAAGAAAACAAAAAAAGAAACCTTGATATTAATAAAAACAGCCTTAAGTCATTATTACAGCATCAACAAAATTGATGGGGTAAATGTTTTTCCAATTTCAAGCTTGTATTTTTTGAAACAAATGTTTTCTATAACAAGATCACTTCTAATCAAAAGGTATTGGCACTGGTTTATGATATCATTTTTTCTAGATGTCTTGGCAGTATGGTTCAATAAAACTTTGCAAGTTTCCTTAAACGGAATCACAGGTGACTCTTTAGAGTAGTAACCAATTGGCATTTCTAATGCCTCATATATATGCACACAATGTAAAAAGATTTATGAACTGTCAGGGGAATCACATACCAGCAATATTTTTAGAGCATGAGAGCAGCAGTTTCGGGGCGATACTGGTAAAAAGTTCAACTCATAATTATTAGATTAAAGACAACTCAAGTTGTCTTTAATCTAATAATAACATTTAATAGCACTCCCGTTTTATAGAGCAAAAGTTTCAGCATTTTCAAATACCCTTCTGCAGTGTTCCTATCGCTAGTGTTGCAAAAACTAAATTTGGGAATATCCAAAAGACTTTTTCAGCAGAGGATTTAGCAAAGTATTTTTTTTGTGGATAAATTTAGGATATAAGTTTAGTTTATATCCTAAATTTAAAATATATTCAAAAGATCTGAGCCAGCAATTAGGTAGAAAAGTTCAGAGATAAAACTTTTTCATTGATGGTTTAAGTAGAAAAATTCAGAGATAAAACTTTTATCTCTTTTTTTTTTCATTGATGGTTTAGATCTGATCAATGCTGGGTTGCTAAGTTCACTGGGCTTAGCTCCACAAACATTCATGATTGAGAGGACAAAAAGTTAATGAGGGCATCAACCACTTTACCATCAAACATGGCATATTAGGTTGAAATTAAATGTGATAGTCGTATCCAGTTTGTCTTCCTCTACTGCTAAATTTACCTCAAACTTGACTATAGTCTATTTTCATTTCTGCTTATAAAAGTTTTTATTTACTTTTTATCAACTCTTCCATTATCTTTTGATGTTTGAGATGTAGGGGTCTACAGTAAAGAGTACTAGAGGGGTTCTTATTCAACCATACATTTTTATTCATGGTGGTTAATTTAAGTTGAACAATAGTTGTCTCGAAAAAACTTTACTTTTTAACTTTGGCCACGACAATATTTGTATCAGGATAATTTTGTTTATGGACACTTTACCTGGAGTCACCATCAAAATCATCTATACAGTTAAGTAAACCTTTAAACCTTCCCTCACTTTCAGCAAATATTCTCATAGAGTCTTTGCATTCGGTAAAAGTTAATATCCTTGTCAGAGTATGATTAAACATACCCAGTAGGGGAGTTGAAGCAGATGTTTCTGTCACAAATAAATCCTTAGCTAGCATTTGTGTGTCTCAATCTTAATTTCATGAAGTGAAGGATAAATACTTGCATTATATATTATCGATGAATTTTTAATAATTTGATACCGTTTATCAGAAAGGTTACACTGAATTTTTAAGCTCAAGACGTTTCATTACTGAAACTTGCTACTTCTAATCATTTACTAATAGCCAAGAGATAAGTTTTAGAACAACAACATTTTTTGTTTTAATGTTGTTTTTGTTTTTTATTTTAGATGTTAATAGTTCACATCAACAATTTCAAAGAGTAAGTTTCTTTTTTTTTATTTATTTAGTTTTAATTGTTAATTTATAATTTTTTATAATTTTCAAAATGAATTAACAAATATTTTTTTTAAAATAGTTATGTATCTGTGTTTTAAATAATAATTTTATTACATTTTTAGGTAGAGTTTCTGCTGTTAAACCTGCTATTGCTGTTGTAAGTACTCAAAGTTTTAGAAAGTTCTATTGCTGTAAGTTATTTTCATTTAAATTTAAGTTTTAACTTTATTAAAGAATCTTCTGTTTGTTCAACAGTTAGTTCTCAATGATTCAGATAGATTTTAATACTCTTACGCAGTAATTTACTAATCGGTCTGTAAATTAAGCAATAGTTTTAAACAGATGAATTAATTGGATTCTACGATCCTATATGCATATTTGCATGGAGTTTTATAATAAAAACTAAAATTTTAATCTGCAAGACTAGGTAAATAAATAAAAACACTCCAGTCTGTAAAATTAACAATTCTAGATAATCCTGACAGTTGTAAAAAAAGTTATGGCTTTAATTATTTTATTGTTTTTGTCCCTATCAAAATTTTCAAGTCAAATGTAATAACAGTTGGAAATTATGAAATATATCCGAAATCAAATTGTCCAATTGGTTTGTGCAACCCTTTTGCAGTAAATTACTAACCGGTCTGTAAATTACGCAATAATTTTAAATTTATTTATTTTTCAGATTCCATGATTCCATGCATATTTGCATATTGTAACACTAATTTTTTTCTTCATTACATAATTAAATAAGTAAAAACACTTCAGTCTGTAAAATAAACGATTCTGTATGATCCTGACAGATTTATTAAAAACTGGATCATTATTTAAAATTTCAAATCAAATGTGGTAACGGTTCAAAAATATCAAACGTATTTAAAGTTAATATGCCCAATTGGTTTATACATCTATTTTTCTGTAACTTACAGACCCGTCTGTAACTTATACAATAATTTCACTGACAGGTCTGTAAATTATGCAATAGTTTTCAAATGATGCATTTTTTGGACTCCATTTTTTGGACTCCATTTTTGGACATCCAATTCCTTTATGCATATTTGTATAGTCTAACCATAAATTTTTTCCTTATAACACAATTAAATAAGTAGAAACTTTTCAGTTTGTAAAATAAACAATTCTGGATAACCCCGACAGATTTATTAAAAACTAGATCACTATTTAAAATTTCAAGTCAAATGTAATAACGGTTCAGAAATATCAAAAATTAAAAAAATATATCAAACTATTTAAATTGATATGTTTAATTTGTTTGTACAGCCCATTTTCAGCAATTTTCTGACCAATCTGTAATTTATCCGATTATTTCACAGAGCATTCTGTAACTTGAGGAATAGTTTTTAAGTCGAATATAATATTGGTTCAAAACTTAAAAAGTCAGTATGACGCCAAAAATATGTAAATTAGTAAAAACTCTCAGTCTGTAAAATAGGCGATTCTGGACACTCCCGACAGATATATAAAAAATTTTGGAGTTTTTTTTTCTTATAGTTGTTGGATCACTATAGAAAATTTCAAGTCAAACATAATAACAATTCAAAATTTATTTAAAAGTCAGTATCACCCCAAAATTATATAAATTAATATTAGCCCTCAGTCTGTAAAATAAATGAATTTAATCAATCCCAACAGATTTTTAGAAAAAATAATTTTGGAATTTTCTTTTCATATTATAGGTGGGTCACTATGAAAAATTTCAAGTCAAATGTATTAACGGTTCAAAAGTTATTTAAAAGTCAGTAATACTCTTATTTTCGGTGCCATAACACAGCAAATTTTCTATACCTATAGCCCTATACCTTTTGTCAAAAATCATTAATTTTTCCACTACAAAAAATTCAATAACTTTTGATCCGCTTAATTTCAAAGGCCGAATGACTCATCATTTTTTGCCAAACTCAATTCAATGAAATCAATTATATTTGTCTATTTGAATTATAAAAAAATCGTCTGGAATGGCTATCGTAGGTCAAAAAGTTATTTTGAGATATATACATCAAAGTTTACAAAAAAAATTATTTTGAAAATGAGTTGTCATTAAAACTCCATTATAGGGGGTCGTCCATAAATTACGTCACGCTATAAGGGGAGGGGGGTTGGTAGTTTTGTGACAACTCATACAAAACTTGCTTCTTAAGTGTTATGATTTTGTGACGAGGGGGAGAGGGAGGTCAAAATCTGTCAAAAAATGCGTGACGTAATTAATGGACGATCCCTAGACTAATGGAAAACATTGTCTAGACATTATTTCAAACATGAGTTAAACTACAAAAAGTTATTTTGACTTGTAGGGTATTTAAAGGTATTACGGCTTAGCCGACGTTATTATTATTAAGTGTGTTGTATTATTATGTGCATAAGTTTACTATATCATCGTATTATTGATTTATTTATTATAATGTAATACAAGTGCGTTATAAATATAAACTATATACTACGCAGATGTTTTTAACAAATGTTGAGCTAGATGTTTACTTAATATTTTTTCAAGTTTCGGTTTAAAGATCGTATTAGAGTCAAGTATTTTATTAAAAGTTTTTTTTATTGTTATTTTTATAGTTTTTTGTTTTTAAATATTCTACTTTTTTATTTTAGCTTTCCTACTGTTGAAATATGATTTGAATTTAGTAAATTTTTATGATTTAAAGTTTACTTTATTGATCATAAGATTACAATTTAGAAAAAGAAATTTTACACAATTAGGGTAAGATATTAATTTACTTTTTACATTACAAAACCGGGTTTTACTGTTAATTCTCATGCTATTTCTAGTTTATGTTTTATGTCATATGTTAATAATGATAATATTTGTTATATTCATGCAAATTTTTGTGTTAAACATTTGTAATGGGTTCATAAAATTAGTGTGTCATTATTTAATGATTTTTGATATTGTAAGAATGTGCTCTGAGATGGAGATCTTAATTAAAACTATATTTACGTTATTGTAACTTTATGAAGGCATTATATAGAAATTAAGCAATAAGAAATGTTGTAGTTTATCATTAAAGATATAACGGTCGATTACTGGTTATAAAGAAAAATTTCTGCATAAAAAATAAGATTTTGCATAAAAAATAAAATTATGAATCAAAATTGATATGTGTATAAGAGTTATAATTTATATCTGATAATGTCTTCATTATGTCAATATTATTGTGGACTGCAACTATAAATTAAAACCGCTTTTGCAAGTTATGTAATTTATGATTACTAATACAAGCATGAATGGATTTATGGATACAATTAATGATTTTAAGCTTAAGTAAATTAGAAAGCATTTCATTGATTTTTAAAAAGTTTTAATTAAATGTCGTGTCAAGATTCGAAAGAAAAAAACAAGTTTAAACTAACATTTCGTCGGTAAACAAACGACACTAAGTTCATTTGTGGCAGTATGGAGTAGTTTATACCACTATTTAGTATTTTAAATTCTCTATCGTTTGAAATACCATAAAATTTTAATAAATCAATTATTAATGAGTTATTAAAAATATTCATTTCAACTAATACAAAAAACTTATTATTTTAACTATTATCCAAAAACTTAATTGTTCATTATCTCAAAATGATGTTTTCGGACTGTGCATTTCCTTTGTATACCGATGATATGCTTTTAAAATAATATGATTCTATTTAATTACTGAGTTATTCTAAACTTTTTGTTAAATAATTCCAAAATCTAATGATTAAAACTATACAGCGTATCCTATAAAGCAATCTTTTTTTTTAATGTTTTCATAAAAACCATTTTAATTAAATTTTTTTGTCCAGTAAAACTCGTTTTACTTTAATTCAATGTTTTTCTTGCATTTACTGTTTTATACCGTAAAATTTTACGGTAAAAACGTAACCCCAATTGTAGACGAAATTTCGTGTGACAGTTTTTAGAACGTATGGCGTAAGTCCATACGTTTTAAAAAACTGTGCAACGTCATTTTGCATTCCACTCAAAATAATTTTTATGAAAAGTTTCAATTTAAGTTCAACCGAGGCAATACTGTGATGTCTTTGAAATTAAACAAAAATTTACTAAAAGCCAACATAAAATTACGTTTTTGAACAACACCAAAAAGAACAGCTGCATCCCTACAGCAACTGCTGCAGTATCACAATAGGTTGCCAAAAGCAGGTATACTGTTTTCTAGTTGTTTTTTTTTTTTTTTCATATATATCTACTTATCTATATAATACTATAGTATGATTGTTTATATCTCATTCATTTTTTTTTTCTTTATCTTTAAGTGTTAATAATTTTATTCTTTGATTAGTTAAACAAGTCGGCTTTCCATTAAAGATATTGGTTTCAAAATTGAACACAATTGACAAAATGCTTACAAAATTAGGTAGTTTTTAAAAATCTGTTTTCTATTTAATAGACTTTTTTTAAATATACTTTTTAAATATACTTTTCTATAACAATCCTACTAATATGGAATCACGTAGCTTTTTAAATATGTTTAATTGTCGTCCCTATCGGTAATAAATATTTTAAATTATTTGATATGGTTTTCTTTACAATAGGCTATTCTTGACTCCTCGGTGCTGTAAATGGTGGCTTCAACTTTGTTTTTTTAAGAAAAATGTGTTTTATATATGTCTCTGTTTTAAAATACTTTTGTTACATATTTAACTATATATCATGTAAATAAATTTCTTTTAAAGATATGTAAACTTGATACTTGCTTTTTTACGGATTTTCAAAAAGTGAACAAAGGTTTAAATATATTTTTTAACTGTCTTATATGGTTTTATCAATTTTATTAACGCTGAATAATTACTTCAAAAATATTGAGTAAAATCCAATTGCTTTTATTATTAACCTGATCTATACAAAAATTAATGAAATAAAACAAATAATTTAACGCCAAGTTAAGGAAAAATGTATTTCGGACATTTTATAAAATTAGTATAAATATGGATTGGATGTATGCTGAAATAAATATGTTGATACACGTTAGCGATTAAAGTAAATCCATATATATATAAATAAAATATATATTATACTACGATAACGCTTGATCATCGAAACAAAATTAATGTTTGTGTTGATAGTGGTTTAATATTTTAATAATCACAGAAGATTTTATTTAAGTTATATAATTACGCAATAACAATGTTTGGTCGCATACATTGGATCAACGTTGGGTTTAGATCGTAAAAACAATCAACTTTATGCGATGTTTTTACATACATTGGAAAAACGTTGATTTATATACATTGAATCAGTGTCGAGATTTATACATTGGATCAACGTTAGGTTTAGTTCGTAAAAACGATCAAATTTTTTCAATGTTTTTACATACATTGGAAAAACGTTGGTTTATATACATTGAATCAATGTTAAAAAACTTTTTGCGATGTTTTTACATACATTGGATTAATATAAATTTGCTAGATGTTTTTAGTTCCGTCGGTAATAATTTTATCATTAACCAAATGACATTGAATCAACGTTGGTTTTGCATTCGAAAAAAGAGCTGACATTTGCGATGGGTTTACAAAAACAAAACATACACACATTTTATATGTGAGTATGTTTTGCTTTAGCAATGGAAAGTTTCCAAATACATGCAAAGTAAAGTAAAAAAAACAAACTTACTTTTCTATTAGCTAATTTAATATTAATAAATGATTTTATATATTTCTAACATTATTGTGTAAAATGTACCAGAACAAAGTTATAAAAAAAAATCTTAAACCAAAACTACTCAAACGACAAAAATACATTTTATTTAAAAACTTTGGCATATAAAACTCACCGAATGGTCACACGTGAGCATTGAACGCCTGAGAAAGAAACGAAGCACATTAGAATAATGGAGAATTATTTATTGAACAAAACATATTTTGACAGTTGTCAAGAAAAAAATAAAGATTATTAGAGGAATATTTAAAAATAAATAAGACAGGCTATACACCTAAAACAGTACTCAACAATAATAACAATAAAAAAATATATAAATAAATAAATAAATTGTTTTATAAACACTAATATGAACGAAGATATACAACAAAAACATCACCAGACAAAAATTATAATATATTATTAAACAATGTTATTTTTTTATTATTATTTTTATAACATGATCGTGTAAAATGCACCAGAACAAAATTATTAAAAAAATTTTAGAACTTAACTACTCAAACGATAAAAATACATTTTTCTGTCAAATTTAAATTTAAGCAAGAACCCAAAAATAAAAAAAACTATAAAGTAAAGAACATTTAAGAAGTTAAAGAAAAAATTTTCAAATTCGTACAGTTAAAAAGTCTGAAAATTTATTTCAAAAAAATAAAGAACTCGTTCTCCTACAGCAAATTAGCTTTCATAGAAATACAACTAAATGCATCTTTGTTTGTTTTTAAACTTAATTTAATTGCCTAATATTAAAAATATGACGCTTGTTTATTGGTTTAAAAAAAATAAAGTTTATAATACTGAACAGCACACTAAAAAATGCAATTGTTGTCATCTAAAATCTACTCCGTAGTTAAGAACCGCAGCCATTTAAAAGCCTTAAACTTTACCAAAAACTGGCGCATGCGTGCCTAAACTTCACACTTTTTCCTAATATCTAAACGACCGTGTCCTGATATAGAAATATCAGCTAAAAAAACTTAAATGGAAAAACATGTTGCTTTTAATTTATAAATTTTTAAATTTTTTATGGTTTTGCTTTTTTTTTTTTTTTATTAAAAATAGTTTCCCTCAAACATTTACAATTTACATTAATATTATATTATAAATCAACCATTTAAAATTATCCTGACATTAAAATAAAAAGTTTTCTAACGAGACATAATTTGAAAAAATAATCAATTTGTTTTAACTTTGTTAAAGTTAGTTATTTTATTAATTCAAATGAAATAAAATTGCATTTGAATTAATATTTGAATAAAGTTTAATGACATTTTTATTCATCGCTAATTTTTTTTTTTTAACAATGTGTTAAATATAGATTTTTTAATTATTATTTTTATCATCTAAAAGAGGGCGATCGCCCCCATTGTACCCCCTAATGGGTCCCCTCTTGAGTCAATGTTATTAAAATAGTTCCTTTTAAATTCAATTTTTATTTGTAAAGATGCAGGAATATTAAGTGACGCAAACAAATAAAATCAACGCAAAGGGGGCTTCCCCCCTCTTTTTATATTTAAAATTTTAAAATTAAAAAACGGATAAAAACACAGAAAATCTAAGATAATTTTTGCCTGTTTTCAGAAGGCGAGACTACGGCTAGTTGCAACAAAATTTAAAAAAACTTCATTTCATTATCTCTTATAACTTTCTTTTTTATTTAATTTTTTATCAGGGTTATAAAATCGATCTGAGCGGCGTATTAAACCAATATTGATCAATTTTTTTTTTTTTTTAATTTCGCTTACATTAAAATGTCACAGTACAATTATACGCCGTATATATGATGTTAAAATTAAAAAAAAAAACAATACGAGTATAATAAAAATCAGAAAAACACTCACATTATATAAATATAAGCATATATAAACTTACAGATGTATAGATGCGCATTTATATAAATTGCTATCAGTTAAACATAAGCTAGGATCTGAAAGAATATCACAAGATTTTGTCGTCAGAACCTTATAAAATATTAGCAAGCAAAATAAAGACAAGTATAACATACAAAAAATAAAGTAAAATTAAAAAATAAAAAGTAATAAAACCCAAGTCAAATAACCATTTTAAAAATATCAGAAGTATCTAAGTATATTATCAAATGAAAAAATACATTTTTAAGATAGAGCTTGAAAAGAGTAAAGGAAGTTGGTTGATCGAGATTTTGCAGAACAATATTATTCCATAGGTGGGGTCCACGATAACCAATGCAAATTTGATTAAATTTTGTGTGACAAAACGGCTCATTTAAAAACCATATCTCATATCGTTTTTGTTGTTAGGTTTGAGTTTGAAAATATTATTAAAAACGGTTGGGGATAAATTATTTTTCTGTAACTGTGGATAAAAAGGTAATAAAGTTAGCTTAAACATTTTTTATTAAGGTAGTTACGAGTTTTTTATAGAACCCTAATGTTTTTTGAAATTTTAGTAGTAACATAATTAATGTGTTGATTCGAGGAGATGTTTTCATCGAGATAAAGGCCTAAGAATTTTGTAACAGAATCATTTTTTATTTCAATTTTGTCTATATAATGTTGTGGCAAGATTGTTGTTAATAACCTCTTTTTTGCATACGATTGGAATAGAATCCATTTGGTTTTATTAATCTTTAAAGTTAGCTTATTAAATTTAAACCAATTTGATATATGTTTTAGTTCTTTAGTTGTAGTGGTAAATAGTTTATATATATATTACTGCTTGAGAGGTATAGGTTGTTATCACCTGCGTACATGATACTTATAAGGTTGGAAGCTTTATTCAAATCATTTAAATATATATATATATATCAGGAAGCTTTATTCAAACCATTTAAATATATATATCAGGAAAAGTAGGGGTCCGAGGATTAAACTTTGAGGAAAACCGCATGCAATATCAAGATAATTATTTTATTAACCATCGTTACTAATTACAAATTGTTTTCTTTTTGTTAAGTAGCTTCTAAACCACTTCAAAACAGTACCATTAATTCTATAATATTTAAGTTTTTGCAGTAAAATATAATGATCTACAGTGTCGAAAGCTTTTGATAGGTTAATGAAGATAACAGGTACTGTGATTTTTCAAAAGATTTTGAGATTTCATGCACAAACTGGATTCTTGCATGCTTTATTGAGTTACCTTTTTTAAAGCCGAAATGTTTGTTATATGGTAAGATGTTTTTATTGAGATAATTGTATCTTCTATTAGATATTATTCTTTCTAAAATTTTTGAAAGTACCGAAAGAACAGAGATGAAACAATAGTTTCTGATATTCGATCTGTCACCATCTTTAAAGACAGGAGTAATTTTAGCAACTTTTAATTGTTCTGAAAATATTCCTTGGTTAATAGAAGGTTTAAAAATTTTGAAAGAACATGTTTTAATTTTCATTAATTTTACCTGCTTAAGTTGCTTTGTTTGTTTTTTTTCAAGGAACTCAAAGCTACTTCAAACTCTTCAAAAGATAATTCTGAGGTTAACTTTTTTTTTTTTTTTTTTTTTATTTGCATT